CCAATTCCTAAGCAGAAACAACTGATGAATGCATAGGTTCTCATAGACCACTGATAACCTATTTTCGGGAACAGTTGTCTGAAAAGCAATGGCCATAGCACACCACCCAGAGCACCACCAATAGAACAGACTCCTAGAGCCATACCTCTCTTTTTCAGGAAGTAGTGCGAGACTGATGAAATACAACAGTTCATGAGGAAACTTGTTCCAACGCCAACAACCACTCCGTACGCAAGAACAAACTGCCACACAGTGTTGCAGTTTGCTGTCGCAAACAACCCGACAATGATACAGATGGAGCCCACATACATTGGGATCTTCGATCCAGTGTAGTCAAAGATAGGGCCTGCGTATATTCCACCAAAAAAGGAGAAGAAGAAGTACACCGAGAACACCCAACCAACAGCAGACGTGGATGAGTCCTGTAGAATGTGTTCAGAGACATACGCCTGGATAACACCCACGGTGTTCATATTACCGAAAGTGATGAGAATCGCAAAGAAGGAGCCCAGAACAACCAGGTTAGCCCTTTTCCCGCCCTCTGGGAAGTTATCGTAGTCAGGGTCAACGTCACTTGGATCGTTCGCTGACGTCTCATGCGTTCTGTTTTCCAGTGAGGTTTCAGTAGCTGCCTCCTTGTTGAAAGCAGAAGAAGTCCCGGCTCGGACCTGTGTGTTCTTACGCACTGTGCTCAAAGAGTCCAACTGTATCTCGTCCATTGTCATTGTATAGCGGGCAAAGACACTATGAGAGACAGTTTTACCAGCAAGCAATGTTATGGAATTAGTCATAGGCTTTGAGACATCAAGGAACTCATCGGTTGGGACCACACAGGGCTGTATCGGAGGTTGGCGGGGATAACCGGAAATACCGGATTGTGGTGACAAGCAAAACGGGTTATCCTATTATTAGCATCACCACGGTGTGTAAGAGCACGGTGTGTAAGAGCACTGTGTCGATTGTACAGCTGTTGGATACCATCACCGTTCACTGTGAACTTTGTTAAGAGTTGGGATTGTGTTGCCCTGAGCCACGTGACTGTGATTGGTTATGGTGGCTCACTAGAGAGTGCGTTGCAGAGCTTGAAGAGGATACTGGACGCATTGGATTACACACGGTCTTTTAAATGAGATTGGCTGTCAGATGTGGCAGTTCGCATGGATGCTAGGCGAAGAAAGCCAGCGAAAAAGGCCATCTCCCCTGTTTTGCTACTGCAATACACATTGATTGGTTAGATGCCAACCCTGATGGTTCTGGTATGAGAGCAGCATCATGCTGCTATTGAACCACCAACAAGATCAGACACAGGCCTTTTGAAATCCGATGAGAGCTCAATCATCTAATAGCCACGTACGAAATGTCTAAAGTGTGGCCCATCGTTTTGACAAGCGTGAAGAAGATAGTAGAAGTACTGTTTCACATGGTCTCTTCAATATACCAGACGATGATGGCGATAGTGGTCACTACGAACCTGGTGAAACTCCAGACCTTGGAGAGACCAACCAAGACTCAGGTGCCTAACCAATTGTAGTGACTCCAACTCTTCACCAAGTCTAAAACATGCGAGTTCTCTACAATAATGGTCTGTATATGAGTATTAATTTTTCAGTCGTAAATTCATGATAGTGCAGCTAAACTCTTCTGATCTTCCAGCCAACGATGGTATAGATGGAAACTATCCAGAGGATAGCAGCAACACCTTCAATGATTCCACAAAAGAGAATCATGTTGGAATATCCAGATCCATTACCAATGATGGCACCACCAATTGGTAGAGAAATTAGGTTACCAAAGGCAACCAGGAAGTAGACAGTTCCATATCTTTTGCCAAAATCTTCCGTCTTACCCACAACACCACAACATACCGGTGTCAATGACATGGTTGAGCTCGAGAAGAAACCAAAAAGGCCCGCAAAGGCATACATGGTACTTAGGTTACTTCCAAATGGCAACCAGACGACCAGAATCAAAAGCGAACAAATGGCAACACATACGCTCATAACGTTCAAGCAACCATATCTATCAGCGAGGTAATTTGGGAGAAACCTTCCAGGAATACCT